TGTGAAACTTTTTGAAACTCACAAGAATTCTTCAAAAACCATCCCAACATATAATTATCGACAAAAAATAACAATAATTAATAAAAATAGTGTTACAAACACAAAGAAACTTCTCATATATAAAATATTTGTTTATTTTACATAAACCAAATGTCCTTTTAAGCAATATTGGTTTGAAGTATGGTGATGAAAATCAAACATGTTATACATTAAAATCAAAAGCTGCATATAATTGCCTCTACGTTAAACCGGAGGTACCATAATTTTGGTTCAATGGATGTAGAACCAAGTGAAACGCGTACTTATGCAAGCCACCCATGGCAGAGTGTGGGAGCAGATCCTTTGAATAGAATGTGTCAAATCAAATCCATTAACTCTCTTCACATAATACAATAACTAACGAGTGCAAATGCTTGGAAAGAATCCACGAGACAAGTGCGATTTGCACGCAATACAGTGACACGATAACAAGAGATCAGAATACCGATGATACATACAGGACACAGCATCAAAAGCAACACAAGAAAACATAAATAATGTGTCCATCTTGAATTTGATTCTTTCTACCAATTTCCACATTACTATAGTACGGTTTGGTACCTTTCAACGTTTCTACGGAAGGAATGGAATAACTTTCCCTTAAATATATTTTGTTTTTATAATATATTATTTTATTTTTTATACAAAAATATTATTAAATATCATACAAGAATATTACAGTTCAGTCTCTTGTCCTAATATAAATAGCAACATAACTAATTAAAAAATAATAAAAATATGAAAAAATAAAAAATAAAAACATATAAATATGTCTTGCAACATAATTTTTTTTAAAATATCACAAGTGTTAGTAGCAAATATTTTTAAAAATATCACAAGACTTATAACAAATATCATTGTTGTAATTGTTTATTTGTCTCAATCATTATCGTTGTCACTACTATATTGTAGTTGACATCACCACTATTACAATTGTTATTGTTAGGGGTGGGCATGGATTGAAATATATTAAACTTAAAATATATTTTGATATGATTTGATCAACTTTAAATAGATTGGATTGGTTCAAATTTTTTGTTTTTTCAATATCAAATTTAAATCAATCTAATTCAATCATATAAAGTTTGGAGTAAATTAGTTCATTGAATTTATCTATAAAAAATAATTAAAATAAAATCATATTAGACAACTTGTAAAATATATTTTTAATGTTCTCAACTAATAAAACATTCAATATTCTAAATTTGTTTGTCAATATTATAAAGTAATACTTAAAACATTAAAAATTACAAACTTAATAAATAACAAACATATGTCATCCTCAACAAAATATCACAAGTGTTACAACCAATATCACAAAATTATAATATGTAATCAGTATTAAACTTTTACGAATGAGAGACAAAGTGACAAACAAAAAACTTAGATTTCATTTTCATCCTTTGGATTAATTAGTACTAAACTTTCATGAACAAATGGATCGACCTTAAACAAAAAAATAGGTTGAATGAATCATTTTCCCCCTTTTCATCTTTTACTATTACCTCTTATTTGATAATCCATAATAATAATAATAAATATTAGATCAATTGGATAGATTGATTTAATTTGATTATTAAAAATCAAAATCCAAAATTTAATCGATATGATAATTATAATTAATAAGATTTCTTCAATTTAGATTAAATTAAATTGATTAGATCATTTGATCGATATCATCACTATTATTATTTTTATTACGGCTAATGACAATGTCATTAATAGTAGTATAAGCAACAATAATGACAATAATAAAAATAAGAGTACAGTGACAATAGATAGAAATAATAACAATAATAATAATATATGATAATTTTATTTCTAATATTTTAATTTAAAAAATTTAATATTATTTCTGATATTAACTATATATTCTGTCTTTATTTATATATATGTATAGGCAGGAATTAGAATGTTAGTCATTCTAAAATTTGAATCGTGTAAAGAACCATCCAGCGATTTTAAAATATTTAGTATTAACTAATATCTTCCATCTTGTTATACAAGAAACTATAATCAATGCCAATTAGATTGAATAAACTTAAGATCTACAAGAATGTTTCATCAATTTTGACCTGAATAAAATATTTGGACTTTTACTAACCCACCATTGTGTGTGTTAATTTGTGTTTGGTCATGGCATTTATTCTTGATGAACTAGTGGCTCATTCATTCGCTCGTTAATTTGTATTTTTTTGCCTTATCATACTTTTGACCGTTATCCCCAGCTCCCAAATCTCAATTATATATATATATATTAATTTGAAGAAACATTTCTTCAGAAATGAATGAAATTATTGTTGACATACGAGATAGAACAAATAAAATGGTATTAAACTATAATTTTTACAAACAAATTATTAATAGAATAAACTGTTGTTTCCGAAATTTTCCAATTATTCCCGGCATTCTATATGGATAGCGCATGGCCCATATGAAGTTCAACATTTGATGACTATGCCACTATATGTTAATTAAATCATGTAATCTTCTTAAAAAGCAGTCAAAGAATCTATTATCCTTTACTCCATTTTCTTTTTATTTAATCCATGTCTTTTGTTAAAGGAAACATGCTTAACCTGTAGGGAGCGTTTGAGAGTGTTTTTTTTTTTTTTTTTTTTTTTTAAACTTTTAAATAAAAAATATTAGTTTCTCATATTTAATAACTATATTTAAGAATAAAAGATTCTAAAAAAATATTATTTCTAAAAAAATTATTTTATCTCACTTTCTCATAAAAACATTTTCATGAGATGAAAATCTAACTTCTATAAATTAGGAATAAGGTTTTATATATATAAAAAGACACAACATCTTTTTTAAAATAGAAAATCTAATTAATATATTTTTATTCATTATCACTTGAACAAAAATCACAAAAATATATTAGTTTTATTAACTAATTAAAATATAAATTAAATTAAATAATTTAGTAGACATATTATTTTGTTATTATTATTTTTAATTATTTTAAAAATAAAATAAAATCAGTGCAACATTTCATTATAAACTTTTAATAAATTATTTTATTATGTTTTTTATTAAAAATTATTTTATTATTATTTGCTAGCAATTACTATTTGTTTTTTTTATCACTTTTCTCGTTAATTTAAAGTTAAAAGTTAAATAGTTATATAATTTTTATGAAATATGATATTTTATAGTTATTTAAAATTTATAAATTATAAAAATGTATTACTAATTTCTTATTATGATTTTTAACTCCTAAATTTAACAAATTATTTAAACAAAATAATGCTATACATGTTTATTTTCTATTGTTTTTTAATTACTTATATTTAAATTTTAATTGTTATTTTGATTGTTAATTTAACTTTTTTTTTCTTATTATGATAAATCATGAAAATTTATATTTTATATTTTGATTTACCGTAATTTTACATATAATTTAATCATGTGTAAATTATTGATTTGTTATTTTAAGTTAAATGTATTTTTTATGTAAGATTATGATATAGTTACACCTTACAAGAAAGAAAAAACTCATTGTTTTGTAAAAAAATATATTTATATAACAAATAAAATATTATTGTAATATATAATAAGTATTTTTTTTCTTTGAGGTGCTTTAAATGTTTTTATACATATAAATTAGAATAGTTATATTGAAAAAAGTGATTTTTTTAAGAAAGAGTCTTCATAAGAACATTTTTAGATGATTTTTTTTATAAAAGCGTTTTTAGAAAATTTTTGGTGTCTCATCTCTTTCAAATTATTATTATTTAATTAAATTTCAGCATTTGAAAAATCAACGATTAAAAATAATATTACATTACTATATAAATTTTCTTTATAAATTTAATATATAATTTGTATGTTTAAAATATTTATTTAATATAAATTTTAATTATAATATAATTTAAATATTTAAAATACTTATTTATTATAAATTATAGTCATATAAAATAAATATTTGTCAAATGTGTATATGTTAGAATATTATTTATATGACAAAGGGACAACAAATTATTATATGATATATTATATTTAGAAAGAGTAAGATTATTATTTTTTAATAATTATTTTTAAAAGTGTACCTTGAATATTTTGAAGTACTAAATAATATAAAAAAAAATTACAAAAATCAAACTAATAAAAATTAACCCGTGCCAATAAGTCATTACTTCGAACAAAATTAGGATTAATTTTCTCAAATAAGATGTCAAATTTAAGTATTGTAGACGAAAAAATATGGTTCACAAGAAAAAATCTCACTAAAAATAATTAGTTAATTTTTTTATAATAAAAATTAGTAATCAATAAAGTGAATAACTATTGAACCATTAATTCAAATAAAAAATAACTTTCTAAAGGTCCCGTGTGGAAAACATGCTCTTATTGCATTTCAGAAAGCAAGATAAAAAAGGTTACTCATTAAGAAACAATTGATTTTAATAATCTTAATCTCTGCTGAAATTATTTCCTGTATATCAATTACGATGCAAAAGTTGGCCAAGCTAGTAGTGAATGATTAGTTCAAACTTTATTGGTATCTTTATAATTTATTTTTTTTAATGAGAAAACAAAAAAAAATGCAACTCCTTTTATACACACCAAAATTCAATCAGCACGATTGACAATTTAAACATTAACAGCGATGTATCATGCTGCGCTGCATACTCTGCCATGTGAAATCGACGCATTTAGTTTTGTTAAATTTATTGGACAATTTTTGAAAAAAAAAGAAATTCTCTTAAAGTATTTAACATCGTAAATATTTAAAACTAATTTATTTTCAAATTGAACGTGTAATTGTGTTGATTGATTAAAGTATTTTTTTGAAAAAAATCCTAAAAATATTCTCATTATAAATATTTAAACTTATATATAGAGATTGAGAATGTGACGTATTTTAAAAAAAGAAATTATCTCTCTATTAGTTTTAGTACCTGTATCCATATATCTCATAGCTTAATAGCTATATATAGTTGGTGACGGTGGAAGAAGAAAGTCAGTAAGTCACAATCCATCCCCTTCATCTATACTTGGTTGGTGTTGTCTCCTCTCTAGTTATTTGTTATTTATCACTCACTTCACTTATCTCTCAAAAATCAAACACGCATTAAGACACTGTGCAGTAGGCCAGCAATAGCATGTTAAAATTCTGTGTTTGTTGTGTGAATAAGAGGAATGGATGTTAAGGTGAAGAAAACACAACAGAGCGAAGAAGACATCAGAAAAGGTCCATGGAGCGTTGAAGAGGACACCATTCTCGTGAATTATGTCGCCACCCACGGCCACGGTCGCTGGAACTCCCTCGCTCGCTGCGCAGGCATTTTTACTTTTCTTTCTAACGCTACCAAAATAAAAAAAAATTCATTTTTTATTTAACTTTTTTTTAATAATCTAAAATAAAATGTGCAGGGTTGAAGAGATCGGGGAAAAGTTGCAGGCTAAGATGGCTAAACTACTTGCGTCCTGATGTTCGTCGCGGAAATATAACACTCCAAGAACAGATAACCATTCTCGACCTCCACTCTCGTTGGGGCAACAGGTATTTAATTAATTGGAACATGTTACTGTTAATTTTGAGTTAGTGGATAACATGGAATCAAAACTAAGTTAATTAAGTGGGGAAATAATAATTTATAGGTGGTCGAAAATTGCACGGCACCTTCCCGGGAGAACAGACAACGAAATAAAGAATTATTGGAGGACCCGAGTGATTAAGCAAGCAAAGAACCTTAACTGTGACGTGGATAGTAAACAGTTCAAAGATGTCCTGCGTTACGATTGGATGCCCCGTTTGATTGAGCGGATGCACCCACCATCGCAAACTTTCGCCCCGGCCCATACTGCCCCAGACCCTGCTGCTCTGGCCCACGCTTCCGCTTCCACTGCCTTGGACTCACCATGCGCCGAGTTTCAGGGTCGTTTAGATTCTCAACATTTCGATTATAGTGAAAGTTTCAATTTCAATGACCCAATGTTGGAACAGGGGAATAGCATGTTACCCTTGGGTTGGGTGGTTGGGACTTGATGGAGAGTTTGTGGGAGGATGAGAATATGTGGCTTATGCGACAACTTTGTCATGATCTGGAAATTTAAAGACAATTTCCTTGCGTTGCGTGACGCATATTTGGTGGCTTTCATGTGCAAAGATCCTACTCCTACTCCTAGAGCCGTTGCTACTTGTAAAATGCATGCGCTTTGTCTTTCCCTTTAGCTAATAAAAGTAAGCTTCTTTCTCACTACTAAATTTGTTTAACTTATTTTTAAGACTTTTATGCAAGTTAAAGTGATGTTTCTTGTGTGATGAAGCTTAAGAGACATTTTTGGGAATAAATCCCTTTATATATAGTGCTTGTCATTAAAGAATTTAAATCATAATTTCATAATTCACATCCACAGGCTACACCAACCTTCATACATGAGAGGAAGATTTCGAACTATATAAGATATTGGACTTGGTTAGGTAATTGTTGCCGGTTTTGGACTGACCGTGAAATATAATACTCAAGTCCTCTACACTAAGGATTCGTATGATATCCTTCTTTGTTAGAACATTACCCCTCAAAGGTTTTATTATTGTTTTTAAGTGCGACAGCAAAAATATAAAGTTTATGACTGTTGTCTATCGCTCTTGAAAAGGAGTAGGGAGTATTTGTTTATCAAGTGAAATGACAGATTTAAAAACCCAAACACTACCAGTCTACTACAAACATGGTGAAATGCTTGGATCACCTTGACCACAAGGTCCACAACCCTCAGTTGCTTCTACACAAGTTAAGCTTTAACATGGAAAAAGAAGAGTAAAGGAAGCAAGACTTGTGTGTTCAACGGACACGAAGTTACACGGGTTCCTTCCAATATATGAAAAACATGTGTGTTAATACGTTCTATTCGGATAGTTGGTCCTTTATTTTCTTTTCTTGTTTTTAAACGTTATTTTTGTGCTTAGCTTCATATTTAGTAAATGTAATACGGCGGGTGGATGGTCTCCACATTTCTCCCTTTTGAGTAGTACTGTATTTGAAATTAAAGTTCTTTGCACTTAAAAAGAAAAGAAGAAAAAGACTGATGGAAGATACATTCGAACCTTAAAACTTACTAACTGGTAAGTAAAAAAAGTAAAACATAAGGAATTGTATAGTTTGATAAAACGTTGCTAATATGGGTTGATACGCATGCTTAATGATAAAGAATTAGCTATCATGTTGTTTATAGATGTTATTGATTTCTTCTTACACTACTAAAATCTCACTAGGTGTTAAGTTTTTTAGTGTCTATCAAGTAATTGAATAGATGTGATTGAATAAAATTACTTTATTTAATCATGTAAAATAATTTTTTGACAGGTCTCTACTAGCAACCCTAATATGCTATTAGTGGCTTGCTTAGTAGTTTTTGGACTATGTGTGTTAATGACTTGTTTCATCTCACTAACTTGCCCTCAATCAAAAGGCATATAAATGCTACATTTTCGTCATTTATTTAAAAGGAAAGGGACAAACCAAAATACTTCTCCTCAAATTAACATCGGATGGAAGAAACACATGATTTATTTCTTTTGCGTTCTTTGTTTAAATTTATTGGAAAATTAATTTTCATGACACTTTTTTTAAAAGAATAAAAAAATTTATGTTAGGGAAAAAATGACAGATTAATATTATAAATTTTAAGTAGTATAAATAATTTTTATACAATTTTTATTTATCTATTTTTTTATACTCTTTTCTGCTTAGCCTAACTAACAAAGAGATTTTTTTTATCTCTTATTTTTTTTTCTTATTTCTATTCATTAAAATAGAACATATTTTCTGTATTATTATTATTTATTTATATTTCCTCTTTATTTCACTCAAAGTATAAATATGAGACATTTTTTTATGTGTTTTGAGTGCAAAAGACTTTTTCTTAATTCCTAGTTCTTACTCCATTAAAGATAAATTAAAAAAATATTTATTTAAATAATTTATTTAAGAAATACATTAATCCTTTAAGATGCATATAGTCATTTAAGTGAATTTTACATTTTTCAATAAAGTAGTTTCTACGCAAAAAAAAAAAATAATAGTAGATGTCATTTTATTTGTACGAACTTCATATATTTATTTTGAAAAATTGGTTAAAGCAACAAAATTAGTTAAGGATTGAAACTGAACACCGATTTTAATTTTAATCCTAGTAAATAGAACAAATTATCAATTAATATTAAAAAAAACTATTGAAAATTCTTTTGGATTTAATACATCATTTAGTTATTGAATATTTATGGAGATTTTCTTTAGCCCAACTATGACAAAAAAAATAAAGTTGATTGTACTCAGCCCGGCCCACTCGTCAGAAAGCGAGGTTTTATTTGTTGTAAAACGGCAGCGTTTGATCCGGGGTTCTCGCATTCTCAGAAACCCTAATATGCTTCCTATAAATTGACAATATGAGCAACTCTGAAGCCTACACAGCTGCCTCTGAACCACCGTCGAAGCTACCTTATTCGATTACATGTTCTTCTTCTTCTTATTCTAATATGCGTTTGTGTTGGTTATGCATCTGATTTATCATTGTTATCATTTTATCTGTTTTTGTTTTTATGAATATCGTTAAGCATGGTATGAGATCACGGTGATGACTCCATAAAATTCAAGCTCAACAGACCGGAATGCAGAGCTTTCTCTCTTTCGGGAGATTGCGTTGCGTGTCGACTACCCCGCTGAACTGAGTGATCTCTTACATTTTCTTTTTTCTTTTTTCTTTAATTATTATTACTTTAATTATTTTTGTTTGGGAAAAGAGTAATCACAATGAGGATACAAAGCTCCCTCTTCTGAGATAAAGTTGAGGAAAATTGCTGGCAGAATCGAACCTTAAAATCTTAGCCATCACTGAGTGATCTCTTTCCCCCTTCATTTTTATGAACCCTAAATTGCATTTTATTTAAACTTAATTTAGTTGTTTAAAATGATTTTGGATTCGCGTCCTAGTTTGAATTTGTTTGAGGTCTGTGATGAACTTTAATTGCCTACATTGGCTGAGTATCTTGTTTAATTAGATTATGATGTGTCCTAACGATCTGAGACCTCTCTGATGATGTATTTGAAATTGCATACACCATTAGTTTCAGAAAATTCAATGTTGATAGACTATTGCGAAGGTGTTTTTTACTTATTTAATTGCAATAATTTAATATCATTAGGAAATGAATGAAATATGAAAAGTGGCTCCTTGTACAGATTCCATCAGGAATGGTTGGGATGGGATAATAAATAGATATATTAACTGTTTAAACATATTGGTTTTAGTAAAATTGCTCTTGAACAAAATATCTTAAAATTACAAGTTTTTATTTAATTAATCATAAATAAGATTTTAATAACAAAATTATCTTCTATTCAATTTTTTATGAAGTAATCAGGCTTTTATGATAATTGCCGTTTCAATTCATTTCATAAGTTTTAAATTTTGTAGCTATCAATTTTTCTTTACCAAGTTTATCGGTTAATAAACATATATATACAAAGGGTTCTTTGTAAAAAAGGCATATATAAGGGGAATTTGGCATTTTGCAAAGCAGATTTTCCTACGGAATATTTTATTTAAATGGTTTAAGATAATGTAATTTTTATTTACACAATTAATTTTGACGGCTTAAATTGCAAGCCGAATGAGAATTTCAGTCGTTAATTTTTTTTATTTTAGTTTGTTTTGCTGAGTTTAAAATGTTTTATTTTGTTATTTTAATATAAAAAAAATTAATTTTATTTTCTTAATATGTCTTCATTAGATTAAATTGGTCTTTTGAAATATATTGGTAAAGAATGATAATTTTAAAACTTGGAAGACTAACTTGAACTAAAAAGTTAAAATAAATGACTAAATTTAAAAATTAAAATAAAATATTAAAATTCCGCTAGTATATATGCTAGCTCACGATTGACGCATAGTGCAACGAACGAATAAGAAAAAGAATTTGTTTAATTTTTGAAATGATGGTTGAAGTAAGAGAAATTGTCATTGAAGCTTAAATTTAATATATTATAATATTTTACACTAGCATAATAAGAGTTGATTTGTTATTTTACGCTAATATTGCATTATTTTAACATAAAAAATTTAATTATAAAATTTGTTTTGATACGTGTAAATCAAATAGGAAATATGAAACAAATGACAACTCATGCTACTCAACCACAAACTTGTTAATTATGAGTTAAGTTATATTTTTATCTTTTATTTTATATTTCATATTCATATTAATTTATTTTGATTTTTTATATTTGAATTTATTTGATATTTTCAAAAACAATAATAATTTTACATAAAAATTATAATATTCAATTGATATTTGAATCTTTAAAAATTATAAACATAATGAAAATCATGTGAAAAATGTGTTATAATTAAAAAATATGAAATTATAATTTTTAAATTTTTAACTATTCTTTAAACTTATTTTTATACAATTTTCATCATGTTTATAATTTTTTTATTTTTGTTCAAGAGTTTTTATATAAATAAATTTAATAAGATAAATTTTAAATCTTAAATTAGTTTAAAGATATTTATAATCATGTTTAAAAATTGAAAATAATTATTATTTTAAAAGAATTAAATTGATTTTAAATTTGATAGATAAAAAATAAAAAATATAAATTAGTCTTAATTATATATTTAAGTAAACTTAAATTGAACTAACTATTTAAACTATAATTAAAAAAAGGTGGAATTTGGCTTTGCTAATGCCAAACTTATGAGTATAGAGATATAGAAACAAAATTTGAAAGTACAAGTTGTGGATTCAAAGGCCCATTTTCCTCTTTATAGGAAAAGTTGAGTAGTTTGGTAAAAATATTTTTGGGAAGATAGGTATTTAGGTAAATAAATTTTTATTACTGAGCTTTTCAATTTCTATTATTAAGTGTGAATGCCATTTTGTTTTCAAATGATAATGTGAAAAGGGGTTATGTAATTATTCATTACTAAATATAAATGAAACTTATCTTTGTTGTTATTATTATTATTTTTTTTAAATGCAAGCATAGATATTTTTCCCCCCTTTTTCTGCTAGTACTAATGGAAGCATGTCATCATCTACATAGGTTGTTAGTTTCTAATGGAAGCATAGTAGTGCATGCTCATGTCAAGCATGAAACATGGATGGAATTTGGTCCTGGAGTGAGACTTTGGGCCGCCATGGGCTTAATTTGGGTAATGACATGCTTCACGAGCTGATCCATGTCCCATTCAACCCAATGGACATCAACATCTGAGAGTGAAGGCGAATATTAGGAATATCAGATTGTGGTCAACGCAAACAAGTGGAGGGGAATTCTTTCACACTCTTTTTCCACCACACAATACTAACTTGGTCTTCTCTCTTCGGTGTTGAAAAATTGTGAGAATATGTCATTTTCCATGATTATTGTTTATTTCTTATCTTCATTTTTTTAGGCAACTCAACCAAATGTATAAATTTATAATGAGTAATCTAATATAAAGTAAAAATTAAAAAGTGATATTTTTTTATTATATTTATAGATATATAACCAAACAATCATTTAATTATTTAACTCCCATACATTTTTTCATCTCATTCTTGATCATATTTATAAAAAGATAAATATTTTATGAAAATATTGAACAACAAAAATGAAGCATGGCATAGGCTAGTGGTGATCAAATACCTTTTCTTAATTTTTAATTATATATTATTTTTTTATCTAATAATTATTATATTCATTATTTATGTTATGAAAAAATTAATTTGATAATTTTTTTTACTGAAATATAGAATAGTGAAAAGACAAATGCAGTAACAATTATAACATACAAGATTAACTGGATTCAAAAATTTAAAAAAAAAAAACTCAAAAGCAATCTTTATGAATAAATTAAACTATGATATCTTTAATTATTTAAAAAAAACCAAAGGATTTTTCATTAAGAAAAATACAGTATATTAATAGAAAAATTTAAAGATAATTTTGAGAAAAAAAAAGTGAAGACAATTATTTAATAGAATAATAAGTGTATAAAAATAATAAAATACCGACATACTATATATGGGAGTAATTAAATATAATAACACATAAAAATTAAGAAAGTGTGAAAATATAATTGATTTTTATGTACTTGGACATAAATAAATTAACGGCTGTTAGCATATAAAAGTAGAGTGTCGCATACATGAAAGTATTTTACTAATACTTTCGTGATATGGTTTGGAATTTGGATTATTAATTAAACAAATTCCTCATGCAGCGTAATAATTGTTATATCATTAATTAGTCAGTTAAAAATTATATTAGTTATGATTTTTAAGATATTATCATAAAATTTAACAAATTCAAAATAACATCAATTTGTAATTGAATATCATTATAAAAAAAATAAAAATTACCCTAATAATAATATCAATTCTTATATATTAAAAGTAAATAACTATTTTATGTGAAAATATTTCAAGGGACTATTCTTCAACATAAGCATTTTTAGGAATTCTTAATTTCTCATCTAATACATTTTTTTTATTATGAATTAAATTTTAATATTTTTAAAATAAATTATTAATAATTAAAATAAATTTTTTTTTCATAATATAGATTATTTATATGTTTAAAAATACCTATTTATATAATTTTAAATATAATTTATATATTCAAATATAGTATATATAATTTATTATAAATTTTAGTTCAATATAATAAATATTTAATTGATAAAATAAACAAATTAAAATACTAGTAATTATTTAAAGGATGCGAAATGTTTAAAAAAAATTATAAAAAATTAAGAAAAAAAATATAAATTAAATAAAAATATGAAAGAGATATTTTGGAAATTAAGAGATAAAATAATATATAAAAAATATGTACATCAAAAAATTATGTCACCTTTATTAACAATTTAAAGATAGATTAATATTTTATTACATTAAATAGAAATAAATTTTTAAAAAAATAAGTTTGAAAGAAAAACATAAAGAACATGTGTAACACTCACAAATAGTTTCGATAACAATAAATAAAGAAAATATCTTCATTTTAATTTTCACTTTTCTCACTATAATAATATCCTTAATTAATTATAAATATGATATAACTACCTATAAATAAGATATAACCACTCTGAAGAAGAAGTAACTACGTTTTTTCGTCCTTTTTTCTTTTAACTTTTATATATTTTATTTTTACTCACGAATAAATTCGTAAGTAAATCTGTCGAAAAGTTATCCACAGATTATAATCCGTCGGTAAATATTCCAGACGAGCAATTTATCGACGGATTGTTGTCCGTCGATAATCCGTCAAAAATGAACTATTACCTACAGATTTTTGGGATTATCCACGGATTCTGGCCGTCTGTAATCTCGAATTTTCTTGTAGTGTACCTCCACTTTCCAACTAGTTATTATATATATATATATATATATATAAGAGAAT